GACTCAAAGAAACTTTGACGAACAGAAATCGCTCGGTCACTAGTGACCCGACCTTATACGATAAGGGTTAATTGAATTTATACTTACTGGAGAACGGAATATCATGCGGCATATAAATTAGAGCAATGTCGTTCAAGACATTGTCGCCCTGACTGTAATCTGGATATATAAACGCTTGAGTCGCAATCATGGACCCACCGGGACCTATATAAGTATCGTAGCTTATCCCATACTTGTTAACGATACCGAAAACTACTAAAAATCTTCGTGGGTATCTTATCGCACAGTGAGCGGCTGTGAGAACCCATCTTTTTGATAAGATCGTGCCTCCGCATTGTACGGCGTTTCCGTTACCTAGGATTTGATGCACCACTACCATGTACGGAAAATCTCCGAGTTTTGCGTTTTGTCCGCCCGCTATTTTAGTTATTTCATCTCCTAGATTTATCGTTTTGGAAAAATTACTTAAATATTGTGTTGTGAATACAATATATGTACTACTAAATACTTACCATAATTATTTAGGTCTTTTACGAAATTATAGTCAGGTGTATGTGTGCATTCATGGGACTGACTTTGAATATATTGACACATTATTAATGAAATTAGAAAATACAAAAATATTTTTACATTTTTCAAATTCATGATGGATTATTCCGTAATTTTGAGAATGTTATTCCGACAAAACTTTAAAATATAAAATTCTCGAGAGATATTATTCCAAAAAAAGAAATTTATTTGTAATTTGCGTACAATAACTTATACGAACTTATATTAGTTTCGGACTTATAATATAACTGTACTAAGATTTTGTGTAACTACTTGTAATGAACTCGAGCAACTGTCGCTGCAGTTCAAGAATTTCCTTTTTATAAGACTTGATAAGATGTTTCTGTTTTACTAAAAAATTTGAATATTCCTGGCATGTTAGGAAATCCGTAGAGTATACTTACGCATCTAAATCTTTCGTTTTTACTATCCAACTGAGATTGGGTTGTTCCACCTTTCGATAAACTTCATCTCACTATCTTACTCTCTTATTCTTTTATGCTTTCACTCTTTTATTCTTTTGTTTATCCAATAGATAAATTACCATATAATTTATCTGAAAATGGAACAACCAGCCCTGAGAATGATAAACCCAGGTAAGTGTGTAAATGTGTAACCTGTCACAGAGTATCTTACCTTCGTTCAAAGTGAATTCTAAGATGTTATCGGACAGGAATTCTTTGGATTCGTCGAAGTGCCTAGCCATGAGTATTCCAAAGTGCTCTACCTACATGAGTACCCAAAATTTTCCTCGAAACTGTCCCTCTTTTATTTGAAACATTTTTT